AAACTTGCCATTTTTTAAAGCTTGAAATTTCTGGTGAACATTAAAACATATCTGTAATGCGCATATGAATCTACAAACGTTACGTTTGATTTATATCCGTAAATACTTCACAAATCTTATTGAAGGTTTGCTATGCTATACCAGGAGGGGTATGGATGTCCACCCATCAGGAGGTGTTGTGGAGGCAGCTCCTGTGCCTGATCTGCTGGGCAGCATCCTATCAGGACAGAGCATGCTCTTGATGGACAGTTCTGATGTCGTCATTAATCGAGATGGTTCGCTTAAAGCTACCAAACCAAGTAGGTGTATGTAATACATTTTTGTGTCACATATCCAGACTATGAAATGTATTTATATTGAGTGTACTTGTATTTTCTAGCTGTGTGCAGTGTATCCCACACATTTACATTCGGGGTGCACGCATTTGGTCTTAAATACTACTGTTTATATTTTACTGCAACATTAAGTTATAATTATTTTTTGCCAAGTGAACAGGCAGTTTAGTATCTGCTTCTGCTGTGAGATAGTATGATTTGTTGTTCTTTGCAGCGATGGTGAGCTAGCGGCACATGAACTAGATCTGCCTTAGCTTAATTGCAGTTCTAGTTAGAATAGCCTGATACCTCATAGCAGAGGTCCATATTTTTTTTTAAAAAAAGTACCATGATAAACCTTAAGATGCTTAAATTTAATTTTAGCAAGAAAACTAAAGTTTGTTGGTTTTTTCCTTCTGTTACAGTGATGCCATCTCCATTAATACCTGGCAGTAGACAAAGCAGTAGCTCTGGAGATGCAAACAGCCCAGGGATGTCAGCAGGTCTAGGAGACACTTCTGTGTCTGTGAACTACAACAGAGATCAACCAGGGCCCTCCTGCGCCTCTGTGAGCACACCATTGTCCCAGAGCTCAACTCGGTTACCTCCTTTAGCAGCTTCTTCAACTAGCCACACACAAACACCTCTCCATTCTGATCTCAGAGGGCATCCAGGTTTGCATCCACCTCGTCCAAACAGACCCACACCCTCTAATCACCGGGTAAGCAATGGATTTGGAGTCTCTAGGGAAGGCTTGTCATCTGTCTGTCCAACTGCAGAGTCAAGCTCCAAAAGCAAGGGAATGATCCCATCACAAAGCCAACCTAAAAAGGCATCTACAAAACCCATGTGGGTAGATGTGTCAGAACTTCCTAGAATACCAAAACTAAAAAGGGAAAGTAGTGGCATGACAAATGATGGCACTAGTCAAGATGGCAGTCATGAAGTTAGTAGCAGCAGGGGTCAGGGTAGGAGATCCACCCCTAATAGCAATGGTTATGGCATGCCTGAAACGGGCATGAATAATCTTTCTGGGGACAAAGGAAGGCAGCAAAGTGTAGACCGGCAAAGGGGCCAGGCTGACGGTCAGGCCCCAAGGCACAGGCCTGATGGAGGTAGCTCATCTTCAGCTTTCTCTAATTCATTCTCTTCATCCTCGTCCGCTGGGTGTCCTGCCGGCCAGCCACGATATGCCTCCTCCTCATCGTCATCATCGTCATCATCATCATCATCATCAGTGAGCTTCCGCATCAACTCTAGTGGGAACCCATGGCAATCAAGGCGGCTAGGCATTGCATCATCCTCTTCTAGTGTAGGCACCTTCCAGGAACACTGGAGGAAAAAGGATGATGAAGCTAAAAAAAGACAATTGGACAGGGATAAACAAATGCTTTTGGCATCACGTAGTCTGGGTAGTAAGGAGCAAGATAATATATATGATCCCTTTAATCCTACTCTGTCAGATTCAAGCAGCTCAGGTGACGAAACGGAGGGCACAAGCCCAGATGGCACTTCTCAGTATGTAACATTTGACAGGAAGCCTCCTAGTCTAAGTAACAATGAGACTATAATGCAAAACGAGCAGGACCTGGTACAGGTGAAGACTGAAACATCAGAGATTGAGGTCACACAGGAAGGACCAGGGATAGCTCAGGAAACCACATCTGGGGCCAGACTCTTGGA